ACGTACGTACGTACTACTACTTACTTACTTACTACTTATTATATATATATATATATATATATATATATATATATATATATATATATATATATATATATATGTATATATATATATATTATCCTTCGCGTCACGAGAGGGTTCCCCTCAATTTCTCTGAGGGGCTTCTGATCTCCCTCGATGAAGAGCAGATCAACCCTGGTGTTCGATTCTCCTCTGGTACCGAAGAGCCGCCGGCGACCGAGAACACGTAAAGCCCGCAGGAGTCCTCTCCAAGGTTCGCCCGCCTTTCTCCCCCTTTCTTTTCCCTTGGTTCTCCACTTCCATGATGTCAATTCCAGTTCTTCTCATCGCATGTCATGGATTCTCCTTGATATTTTGTTCGGATTATTCGAAAGGTACTAGTTTTAAGCTGGAGTTTGATGGATTTTGAAAGCTTGGTATGGCTTTGACAGATTTTGGAGGAGCATGATCTCTTGGATTATTTGTTAATTATATGAAAAAAGTGTAAATTAATCTATACGATTATTATCTGAACTCGCTATTTTGAACAGAAAATGCCAATCAAATAGACTCCATTTTTTTTTTTTTCAGAGGATACAAGTTCTATTATTGCAGGAAATACAGTGTGATGCTTCATTTCGATGTTATAGCTTGGACTTTGGAGTGGTAATGTGATGTTGCATAAGTTTATTGGAAGTCTTTTAAGTGGTTTCCATTACAATTTAGATCTAAATGCTTGTAGGTTAGAAGAGCTTTGATATATACTCCACCTGGTCGCCTAAATTCTGGGTTAAGATGATCTTTTGACATGTTGTCGGTGTCGTATGGCATCAAGTTATGTTTCTTTGACAAAGTATTGGTATTCCAAATGTTCTTACAGTTCCTCTTTTTCTCATGAACAACATACTTGCTCGTACCTTTGTTTAACAGCCATTGCATGAATCTAGAGTAGTGTCTTTACCATTCCTAATAATTAGCTACAGGCTATTCGGCTAAGTCAACTAAGCGCTAATGCCTTCATTTCTTCTTTGTTGTTTCATGAAGTGTTATTCATCTCTTACCTTTGTTTAATAGCCATGGCATGAGTCTAGGGTGGTTACTGCAGTATTGCCTGATTATTAGGTATCAGGTTCGAGTTTGTGTAAGAGCATCTTGTAATGGAAAAAAATTAATTTTGAAAAACAGAGTTGCTTTTTCTTTTGTTGTTTTTCAAAATACTTTATTTCCTGATTTGTTAGTATGTAACTGTACATTTATTTTAGCATTCTTTTATTGACCTGTCTACTCTATTTTTTGCTGGAAAAACATTGATCAACCATCTACGGGTTTCTTATATGTCAAAGAGATAACCAAAAGTCAGAATTTAGTTTTTCTTGTCTTTTATGCATTTTTTATTCATGAATATTTGTAACTTAAGTGCCCTAAAGCTCTATAAGGTGTTGTGTCTTTCTTTTGCTTGGTAAGTTAGCTGTTGTATCATCTTATAATTTTAGAAGAACCTTGGAAGAAAAAATATATTAACTTTGTATTTTGATTGACAGGTTCTTTATCTGAATTATTAAACAGCAAGGATGGTTCTGCCAGTGGCATGACAGATATTAGCCTTGAAGCCAGCATTGGACCTCTCTCTATTGATAATGAAAAAATACCCAACCTATTGAAATGTAGCATTTCATGGGATGGAAAAGATAGAGAGACAATTTTGGAGTCTGTAGAAGTACCAGTACTTGAAGTTGAATCAGTTGATCAAATTTCTTTAATGGATACCTGCAAAACTGTCTTTGCACGTCAAGCATGGTAAACTTTTGTTTATAATATGACAGTGTAATTCTTCTGATTGAGTACCTTCTTAACTTATTGCCAGTTCTTTCTCTTTCTAGTTGCTTCTCATCTATCAGATATAGGGGTAAGATCTTAAATTTTTTTCTTTTTAAAGAATTATAATGACTAATAGGCCCTGGATGTGTAAAAATGAGTTCTTTTACACTTCTTATTTCATATATTTTTCTTGACATGTATGATTTTGTCATTGATCAAGATTTTTCAGAGTTTTTTATTTTTTCATAGCTTAATAATATTTTGGCTCTAACGATGTTCAAGTTAATGTGTGATTTTTTTTAAAATGCTTGTTTACTCCAATTTAATAAGATGGTGTATCGTTGCTTTTACTGTTTAGCATATTTGTAATCTAAAGTTTCCTCTTTGATGCAGTAAAAATGGATTGAATTCAAATGATCGTGTTTTAACCCACTCGTTAGCAGGACCGGCACCATTTACTGTAGATGGATCTTTGTGCCCAACTGGGAGGAATGGAGATTCTTGGTTAGCTCCAGGAAGTACCGTATGGGCTAAAACTGCATATCATGACTGGTGGCCTGCAGAGGTTCTGATATGTTTACTGTTTATTTTGATGGACTCTGATTCATTCCTCTTTTTCCTGCTTTTGTTTTGTTTTCTATAGTCAAGCCTCAGTAATATTCTTAACTACTTTCTTAAATGCAAATACTTAGGTCATGGATGAGAGATCTCTTGAGTGTACTAAAAACAATCATATTGGACATATTCTAGTGCAGCTTTATGGGAGCAAGGAACAGTAAGTACAGTATTACCAGGTGTAGGTAGTTCAAGTTCAAAACAATTTGCTTTGGAATTGTCTTAATGATTGCTAAACTTTGAATCTGCTTCTCTTCTCTCTCTCTCTCTCTCTCTCTCTCTCTCTCTTTTCAGTGCTTGGCTAGAACCAGCTAGAGATCTGTCAGAATTTGATTATGTGAGTACTTATTCTTCACAAATACTTTCTTAAATACCGCTTTGTAGTTCATCTCAGTATCTCACACTATCATAAAATTTACCTTCTGCTTTAACATATACATCCATCTATAAGAGGATGTGATTTTGGATCTTCAATAGCTTTAGCCTAGTTGATAATGGTCTATATCAAGTTTTCTTGATAATCGTCCATATCAAGCTTTCCAATTTTGCATGCAGGTGAGTACCACTATTTTTGAGTTATCCTCAATGCAAAGTTTGGAAATGAGGCCTTATTTGACATGTTCATGATGAAAATTGATCATGTTACTGTTAAATACTATGAGATGTTCCTGTGATATTAATGCTAAATCCTAGTCTTGTGTAGATAAACTTTTGATAGTTTTCCTCATTGATATTTGCACCAAAAATGTTTATATGATGCTTACATGGTGCATCATTGTTGCTGCAGATGTTCACTGTTTGACATGCATATCACTGATAAGTTATTCAATCTAAATCAGGTAGAGAGATGAAGATATTTTATCCTCAAAATGAGATTTAATCATTTTTCATGCTGCATGCAGACGGGCTAGCTAAATGTAGACATGAAATTGAATGCTTTACGATGAACCAATTGACTCCAGTTTTCTTCCATAACCCAAAATAAATAATGAAGTAGTCCACCTGGAAAGCTGATAACATCAAAACTGAATGGAGCTTCCCTGTATAGTACTCGGAAACTGATATATGATCATTTAATTGATTTTAGCTGGCAAATGAAGCAGTGATTTAAAAAGGTACTCGGGCGCTCACCTAGGCGCTCGGGCGCTCGTCTAGGCGCTCGGGCGAGGTGAGACGAGGCCAGGCCCGAGCACCTCGCTTCACTTCCAGGCGGCGTGCTTTAAAGAGGCGCCGCCTGGGCGCTCGCCCGAGCCCAGGCACTGGCTTCGGGCGAGCGCCTGGGTTAAACCGGGCGAGCGCCTGGGTTAAACCAAGCGACCAAACTAGGATTTTAGGTTTGGTTTGATCTCCGGTGGTTAGTTGGTTCAATCGAACCAACTAAAACTGATATCAGCTATTGCTGCCCAATCTTAACCCTGCTCGTTGTCGCTGCTCGCTACCGTTGCCGCTCCCGCCGCCGCCGCTCGCTGCTGCTGCTGCTGTCATCGCTCCCGCTCACGCTGTCGCTGCCTCCTTATACTCCCGTTGTCGTTGCTTCCTTACACTCCCGTTGCCGCTGCCTCCTTACACTCCCGCAACCGTTGCCGCTACTGCTAACGCTTCCTCTTTTCTCAGTCAGCACCCCCTTACCCTCCTCTTCCTTCTCCTTTTGTATACTGTTAACAGTATACAATATATCGTTAACAGTATACTAATAATAGTATTTGTATTTATTATATTAATAATATATTATTTTAATTTTCATACGGTTAATTTTCTTAATTTAATAGCATATTTTATTTAAAATTTTAAATAATTATATTTATTAATTATATTATATATTTTTATATTTTAGTATCTCGCTTCGCTCGGGCGAGCGCCTAGCGCCTCGGACGTTTTTGGACCTTAGCGCCTTTTGGCACCTAGCGCTTTTTAAATCACTGAAATGAAGTAATGAACCAAACAAAATCAAGATAACAAACTGCACTGACAAGTTCAGTTTGGTTTTCATTCCTTATTCTGCGGTTCTAGTTACAATCAGTTTGGGAAGCGGAAAACCAAACTTGGATCTTTTCCATTTGGAATTAAGAGAACTGTCAAAACCAACAAGCCTGCTATGATATAATCATATTGATCTGTATATGTATAGATTTATATTTTATGCTTATATGCTAATGTTTGTATAAACATGACATTTTTTAGCACTAGCAACATGACCAACCTAGGCCAAATAGGTGGTTTAACTTCGCCTATTTTTCCTTGGTCTAGTTCAGTTCAGTTTTAAAATTCTGCAACCAAACAGATTTGGTTTTAGAGTTCCTCTAATCCTAAGTAGACTGAATATATATACCAAACAGGTGTAAGCATACTAAGTTTCTGTTATCTGTTCCATTTTTGGGCTTAGAATGGTTGGTCTTTTTTCAGCCTCAACTATTTTTATCCCACATTTCTTTATAGACAAATTGCAACTTTTGATATTCTTATATCTAGCGTAGTTTCTCCTACTCACGTTTTTATGCTCATTGGATTATGCGCTGTTATCTAAATTAATCTTCATTCTGTTCAGTGCTATGAAGAAAGAAGCAGGAATCCCTTGCAAGCATTTCAAGATGCTCTTAAGCAGGTTAAGATTTATCCTTGTAGCATCTTCTCTTATTTGGATATTTGATCCCATCTTGGTACAGGTTTGATTCTATCAATTATTCAGGCCTTGTGCAAACATGTGCACACAAGCCCCAGAACACTGCTAGAAAGATGTTTAGACAACCCGAAAAGTTCTTATCAACATGACAAACTTGGTATATTCTTTTTCCCTGTTCTTATTCATTCATTCATCAAAGGACTAGTTCTGAAATCTCATATTTTCCATGTCATCGTCTGATCCATTTGCAAATAATCTGTTAGGTACATGGCAAACTTCAAGTAAAACAAGTAATAACTCTGCCGATGAAGGGAGGAGCCTAAGGAAAAGAAAAATGAAGGTCCATTTTGATGTAAGCTGGAATCCTAATAATTATTTTTGGCTCATGAAATTGTCTTAGTGCAAAGCATGTCCTTCATGCTTTCTTGTTGAGACATTGAAGAAATGTTTAGCATTTATGTCAAAATTTCGTTCCTTTTTCTTCAGGAGTTAACATGTGCAGAAAATCCAAAGAGAAGAAATCGACGTCTTCGAATAATGCGGTACCTTGGACTCATGGCTCCTGTTGGATCTCCCTTCTCTCTTCAACATTGAGATGCTTGATAACTAGCTTGTCCATTGATTTCTTTTTGTTCTTTTTCAAGTAATACTTGGTCTGGTCATCTTTACCACGTAATGTGACGCGGCAAATATCTGTTAATAGGCACAGGTCCTTTTGAGGTCCATTGCCTGTTGTGAGGCTTGTAGTGAGATTGATGCATTACTTGATCTTTGATATTTTGATACCTGAATTATGTATCTATAGCTCAAATGTTAGACATTTAGTTAGATCATGAAGAGAAATAAATGATGGTCACTACTTGGATATTGATTAGTCATCAGCTTGAGCAATCTTTGATCTGTGATGACATATTGGTGGATGTCGATCTCTCTTGAAATCTTATTGATCGCCGTAACAAGTAATTCTAGAAATCAGCATTGGGCACGATCTTAAATCGGCTTCCTCCCATTTGGCTCTTTCTACATCTTATGCTAATGTGAATAGTCTATTCTACGAGATAGTGGAAGTAATTACTTATCGAGGCATGTTATCAATGTTTTTTAAAATTTATTATTATTCTGTAAATAATTCATGAGCATAATTTTTTTTAATTTAAACTTTTTGTTAAGAAAAATATGAGGCATATTCTTCTATAGGATAAGTTGATCAATTGGCACCTGATATGTATGATCAATAGGATAAGTTAATTTAACACTATATTCATTGGTCGATCGAATTGCGAATTGTTAATTGGCACCTGTTATGTATGCACTGTTGTACTCGAATAAACTTGATTAAAGTTATATTAGTACTTATTAGAGTAATTTATTTTTAAAAAAAAATATTTATTTAAGGCATATTCTCAACACCGGAGGTGTTGAGAATTGATATTGAGACTTTTAAAATTCTATATTGGGGCTAAAGTAAAATAAGACAATATTCAACCAAAAGAGTGCTTCATTACTATAACACACTTTTTTTTATAGTATAGTAGATGATCATTGGGTTATGGTTATGATAAATATTGAGAATGGTTAATATATCATTTGGTCATTAATGAACTATAAAATCATATGTTAAACTTGAGGGATATGAATAACAATACGTCAACTTAATTTTTTATATCATAGTTACAATTTGATTATGTCTGTCACATGTCTGAGTCGACCTTATGAGTCGAATTCATGATATAATTAGTACTATATTATTTGTCTTGTAAGGGTGATAGGGGTGATCTCACATGATGTATTAATTGAATAAGATTAAGGTGTCGATCAAACAAGGATGACTTGAATAGTTGCTTAATTGTTGTATCTATGTTGTTATAAAGTGTATTCATTATTATCATAATACACTAAGAGATTGCACAAGGATAAAAAAAGATAGGTTATTTATAAAAGAAAGAAGTCAATAAAAGAAGAAACGAAAAGGAAATGAAGAAAAAGAAACTTGAGCTTATCTTAAGCTATATCGTTTATGGGGTGAAACGACCCATTAAATGATAAAGGATGCCTTCGAGTTCATGCTACCACCGGTAACGTTGTCCTTGCCTCCGTGCTAGAGCCTTGGATCCTCATCATAGATGGCTTAGCCTTGCTTGCTCAAATATCTAAATGTCGACTCCATCGACTCTAAGATCATCATAAATATTATATATTATTATTTTAATTATAGAGATATTAATTATATTAGTGATTATCGATATCCATATCGGTATCTAATTTATATTATTAAATTGTATATAATATATATTTATTAATAATAATATAAAAATAAAATATTATATTTGAGAATTAAATCTAATACCAATAATTTTTATTCTAATATTAATAATAAAATAATTAAAAATTAAGAGAGAAGATATGAGAGATGCGATGGAATAAGGACGGCAAGCCCTCCTTGTCCCCGCTCCATCCGTTGACATCCCTATCACGAGTTCTTCGACAGTAGCCGCCGGGGATGCATCTCCTCGCCATGGCCGCCGCCTGCGCGAGTTACAACCTCAAGAGTTCCTACCCTGGGGGCTCTGTTCGAACGCGCTGGAGACGCACAGGGCTCAGTTGGGGCAGACACGCGACGGGACTCGGGAGGCTTCTCGGGGTGGTTCACCACAGATCGGAGGAGCACACGAGACGGACACCACTGATCTCTTCCCGTTATGCTTGACCGAGACTTGTCATGCTTCCTGTGGTGAGCAATGATTGGACGGCATGCCGCTAAGCTGAACCATAGTACATATTTGTTCTACCTAAAGAACTGCACCTGTCACAAGTTAAACAGGACCCGATCGGTTCTGCAGCACGAAACAATTCAGGGTTCCTTCTCCACAAAACTGAGGTCATCGGTGGGGGAACGGCGGCTTACAGTTCCCATCACCTTTCCATGTCAACCCAACTCTTAAATTAAATGTTTTTTCATGCTTCATTCGCTTCAGCACAACACGATTCGACAGTATCCGCAAAATAATAAGAAACATGCAGACGTCATATAACATATGCATCAAATCTTCGAAAATTAATTGCGTCATTCCCTTGACTTCAATCCAGGTTTAGATTAAGGTTAAAGAGCACGAGGATTAAATTCCAGTAAAGGATACGGTGATGCTTCGACCCAAAAGTAAATAGACCCTTCCAAAGCCATCACGCTGACTCTTCCAGATACATCGAACCCAAATCCAAGTCCCCTCTCTTTCTCTCTCTTAATCCCACGTGGAGAATCCTACAAAGCTCCTCCCTCGTGCGGGGAGGATTCCCTGCAACTTGATTCCCAAGTTGAGTCATCATCTTTGGATTTTGACCGTACGATGATGAACGGGTCGAGGCAGTCGTTGGAGAGGATCCTAATCCGTCCTTCGTAGCCCACCACATCCCTCCCGGTTTAAATCCCCACGACGCCCCAAAGCCGTCCTCCATCGCGCACTGTGATCGCTTCATGGAGGAAGGCGAGCGCAAGGAGGGGGAGACCAAGTACCGGGGGGTCCGCCGTCGTCCGTGGGGGAAGTACGCGGCGGAGATACGCGACCCCAGCAAGCACGGCGCCCGCGTCTGGCTCGGCACGTTCAACACCGCCGAGGAGGCCGCCCGGGCCTACGACAGGGCCGCCTACGAGATGCGGGGCGCGCTCGCCGTCCTCAACTTCCCCGGCGAGATCCATTCCCGACACGCGAGCTCGTCGACCCCGAGCAGAGCTCGCCAGAGCGAGGGCGCGGCCACCGGGAGGCAAGTGATCGAGCTGGAGTGCTTGGATGACAAGGTGTTGGAGGAGCTTCTGGCGTCGTCGGAGAAGGGTGACGAGAAGTGAAGCGAGAGATACCAGTCTTTCTTGTCAGCTCTTCTGCTGCCTCCGACAGCTTTGCTTAAGTTACATGAAGCGTGAGAAAGATCATGTTTGCATTCCATAAATATATGCTTCAGATTCGAGCAAATTTAGCTGCTCATCATGTGTTTTCATCGAAGTAAGTCGAGGGATTTGAAGACTAGAAAAAGTCAATGGACTGTTTTGACTTCTTCGAGAAGCAAAAGAGAATTTGGATGTGGGTTTCAAGGATTTAGGTTTGACGAAGAGGTCTTCGATGGTTTTGAAGAGATCGGATGCAGACAGTAAGTAATTGGGTTTGGCTGAGTTCAATCAGGAGTCTCTTGTATCAGTTAAACAATCAAAGTGAAAGCGACTACCACTCATTTGTGTAGAAACTAAAAATAGCAGGCAATGATACAGTAAAGAAGCAGAGACTATAACTAATAATGCTTCCAAGTTCAAAAACAACACACCACAGCGGTCATCTCAGTTCAATCAATTCATAGCTCATCCTTCAAATGGCAGAGTTTAAAGCATCGGATACATGCATAAAATGGGTTTGCTGGAAGCTATTATTGCGTGTCCTTCGAAGCTCCCTTAGCAAGGTTTTGTATATATTGATTTACACTTCGGATCACTAATACCTAATACTTAATATATAAAACCAATTATTCGGGTCTCATTCTCAGTCGAAGAAGGTTCGCCACTGTATCATATTGCGAATACAAAGAAAAGGCTCTGACTTTTGATTTGATCTCTAAGAAGCACACAATTTTCAGGAGGGAAACTGTTGCAATATTGAATTCAACCAAATCATCCTTCGTCATTTTGATTGTTTGACCAACTTTTTCTTATACCCATATGTTTCTAAAGTCGACGCAACCCCTTCCCCTCTCGAATGTTCGGAAGCCAAACTTTCTTCCTTCACCACTTCGAATGTTTGACCTCTCTCTCTCTCTCTCTCTCTCTCTCTCTCTCGGGGTGAAAAACCAACCAATCACCGGCAACAGGTACACAGACCGCCCAAATCAGTGCGCGTACCACACACGGGACTGACGACCCCCGACGGGAGTCAAAGTTTGACTTGTTGACCAGTGTAGGTCTAATCGTCCGTGACTTTATGATTAGGCCTCATGTTATATATATACATATATATATTTATATACATATATATATACATATGTATATATATATATATATATACATATATATATATATGTATATACATATATATATATACATATAAATATATATATATATACATATATATATATGTATATATATATATATATATACATATATGTATGTATATATATATGTATATA